TTTTTTTTTTAAACGTTCAAAGAATCACAATAACTTCTCTAGTAAAATCTTAAAAACTGCAATTGCATAAACTCATAATTACTTAAAACACAAAATTAACTCTACAATGGCATATAAAAACATTTTGAAAACCCAATAAATTATGACTTTTTAACAAACTGGGTATTATCTGGGTGCTTCTTCTTAGAGAGGGAGCAGGGGGGTGAGCTGCCCACCCTGCTGCTGCTGCAGCTCTGCTCTTATCTTCCTTCACATTCTCTACATACTCTTGCAGCGAGGAAAACGGAGAGAAAGGAAAAGAAAAACCTCACAAAGTTAACTTTAACAAATGCAGTTTTTTCTCTCAATCTCTCGTGTTGTTTGCCGATAGAGGAAAAAAGGGCACGATTTTACAAAAGCAGGCGATGTTACACGAAAAGTCTCTCAGGCCAGGTGCTAACAACGGCGATCATTGCAGCTTATCAGCGTGGCCTTGGAACTTTTCTTGCTGCTGCTTCTACCCCCAGGGTGCCTTTGTTCTCTGCACACCTCTGTGCTCCCCCATGTCCCCCTGGTTCGGGTGGAAACCAGACTAAATTTGGCTTCTTTTCTTCCAGGGTGGTAAAGATGGAACATTAATAAGATTGTAATGCTAAAAGTGACTCCAAAAGTGAAGCAAATATTTCTGGATGTATCACATCCTGCCATAACTGAACAGATTCTGTTCATTGTTTCAGCGTTCGCTGTGGAACTTTTTTTTTTTATTTTTTTCTTCTCTCTGACTCTCCCTCCCTCTCTCCATGGGCAGCATAGATAGGAGTGCTAGTCCAGCAGTGGGAGGTAGAGGCATCTGCCGCTGTGACGCAGGTAGAATTACGGGGCTCACAGCCTCAGCATATCTCACTTTTCTGTCTTTTAAGGTATTAATTGCAATCTGCCAAGTTCAACCGAGAGACACAGTGTCCTTGCTTTTTTCCATGATTGCCGTTTCCCATATCAGAGCCGACGTATCAGTCCGTTCTTGCACCGCAAAAAGCAGTGTGAGCACTGCAAATGCCCATGACAATTAGCCCATATAATGAGCATATCCAGATCCTTTTCCTGGGCTGCTTCGCCTCGTTTAACGAGGATACCAAGAAGCAGTTTTTTAACCGCCGCAAACTCTGCCTCCATGCTGACGGCCACCCGCAAGGGGGAAGGTTGCGACCCTTCTACCACGCCCTTGCCTTCCTGGGCCCCCCCCAGCAGCCTGACTTTCCACGTCCTACCGCTCAGCGTTTCACCGCGCTCAGGCTGCCTATCCGGTGCCGATCCAAGCCCGCGACGTCTAATGCCCAGATCCACTCCGCTGACTCCAAAGCCCCTCTGCCCGCAGGGGTGTCCTTGGTCGGAGCGCCAGATGTTGAAAGACCCCCGAACTGTTCACCAGTCTTCACAGAAGTAATTGTGAATGCCGTTTATTTCTATTATTAACACACCTTTTATAGGGTCTACAGGGTTTGCGGGCAGAGCAAGTTACTATTGGCTAACACACACAGGTTTACATTCTTATCCTTGTACACAAGGATATTGTTTTGCTTTACTCTCTCTTCTGCAGGCAAGTTTCAAGGATTTTAGCCCTTAATATCACGACTTATTCCAAAGGCTGGTTTGTGCATACCGGCCTTTACTAATATATAAAATATAGCAACAGGTCATTAAGAAAAATAATATACGTGTCTATTGTTAACTGAGTAAGAATAAGTATAAAGATAAAAGAACTCCATAGTTTGGGGTCATTTTCTGCTATCAAACACAAAGTGAGCCACAAGGCCTTGTTGTACCATCAGAAGAAATGTACCAGATTGGATAGAATTAAGCTTGTACAGCTAATCTGGAGAGACCTGCCAAGTTTTGTAATGACCTTCTAATAAACAAGAGAAACAAGATTCTAACGATGTCGGGAGTTTTCGTCAAACCTAAAGAACTGAGATAAGTAGGGTCAAACCTAAAGAACTGAGATAAGTAGGGCTCCCCACGAGGGAGAATTCAGCCCAAAGGAGCCTAAAAAATCCAAGAAAAGAAAGAAAAATATAGAAGTGCAGTGGAATCAGAGAAAAAGAATTTTTTAGAGAAAAGTTACAGCACTACATTCCTGAACTTCCAGAAGAACAAACACTTCACAGAGACAGGAATATCAGGTGTTATACAAAAAGGACATGCAGCAGGCGGATCGGGAAGGCTGAACCTTCCAAGCACCTCCGCCAGTGTTGGGCAAAGGGACAGGGACACGCGGCCGGGAAAATCAGGACAAAAACGAGGCCGCGTCCTCCAAGAACTGGAGAGAGCGCACGGCAAATGCCCCATGGCCTCTCCCTTTGGGCAGCAATAAAGTCACTCGCACACCACTCCTCTGGCTCCTTGGGCCACACAAACCTCTGGCGCCGGGAATTTTCCCGCCCGGCCCCGGGCACAGCGCAGCCACCTCCGGCCTCCCGACACGAAGCGGGACGAGCCAGCGCTGCTCCGCCACCGCCTCCTGCCGAGGCCCCAGCGGCAAGGAGACCGCGGGCAGCCGCTCCCGCAGCGCCCTCAGCCCAGGGCCAACACGGGCCGGCCACGGCACAAGCCACCCGCCACAGCCCCCTGCCGCCCACAAATGAAGCCCCAATTGAGGGCGTTCTCTGCTTGGCTGAGCGCTGCCTGAGCGCTGGGGCTGCGCCAAGGGGGGACACCCTCCTCCAGCAGGGATGTCCCGCAAATGGGGGAGCCCCACAAAGCCCTCAGGACCCCCGGGGCTGGGCTGGCCCTGCGTGGATGCCGGGAGCCACCAAAAACTCTCTGTCCCTGCCCTCTGCAACTGCACAGGGACACGGAATACAAGGAAAGGCTCAGGAGCTGGGAGAAGGATGGGGAGGGATCCTGGTCCCAGCATTGACACGAGCACAACAGACCCAGCCTGGACACACAGTGTGAATTTATTCGCAGCAGGACCAAAGGAGAACGGAGAGAAATCTCTCCAACATCTCCCCTACCCAACAGGGATATGGGGGATGGGGTCTGCAATGAGACAGCCACACGTTGGGATGATGAGCTTGGGGTGATCCGGTTACTAAAGAGGTTTTGGGGCATCTTCCAATCCTGAATGAGGAGTAACTTGGAAGGGGAAGGCACCTGGCTCTGACACTGGAGTGGGGCCCCACATGGAAGGACATGGGGAGCCCGTATTAGGGAAGATCCTGCTGCATTTTCCCACTTTTGGGGGGTTATAAACAGTTTTGGGGGGGTTTCCAGGTCAGTTTAGGGGGTGAAGGTGACCTCTTTTTTGGGAAAATCCTGTTTTTTGCCAGTTTTGGGGGGTTCTAAATGGCTCGTGGTGGACCCCCACTTTTGTGGGTTTTGATGTTCTCCACCCACACTTCAAACTGGTCCGGACTGGTGCTCCCAGCACTGTGCAGGGCAGGACCATGGGGACCCCTCTGGCCCAGCGCTGCTGCTTTGGGGCTGGTGGCCCCTGCCCGGCACTGGGGATGGGGCATGTGGGGGAGCTGGGGCTGTACTGGTGGTACTGGTGGTGCTGTGAGCTCACCTGTCGGGGGGCCAGTGGGATGTGGGTGAACATGTGTGCTCCCTCCAGGGCCCCCAGCCTGGTGTCACCCCCTTTTCTCTGCCCACAGAGCTCCTGGGCCGGCAGGGGCAGCAGCCCCTCCCCGTGGCCTCAGGCCCGGCCGGGACCCCCGCTCTGTCCCTGCACTGATTTTGGGGGGGGTTGTGTGTCCCCCCTCAGCCCTGTTGCCACTCTGCCCACGCCTGGCTGCTCACAGTGTTCCCAATAAAGCTTCCCACTTTGCCCTGGGAATGGGGACCCCCATGTGTCTCCCCCGTGTCACCCTGCTCTGGGACTCCTTGGGAAGCACCAGAACACCAGCAGGGAACCCACTGAACCCCAAAAGGCACTGGGACACCCCAAAGCTGCCAGGGAAATTTGGGGAGGGGGTGCATGGGGGGAACCCAGGCCAAGAGCCCAGCGCTGCCCCAGCCCAACCTGCCCTGGCTCCATCCCGGCTCCTCCCATGGAATGAGGAGGCATTGGGAAAAGGTGAGGCCAAGGGTGGGCGCAGGGCCTGGGGGGAACAGGTCAAGGGATTGAGGAGGAGGGCAGAGGAATGAGTGGAAGAAAGGCACGAGATGAGAGGAGGCAGGATGAAGAAAGAGGAGTGGATCCCTCCAACACCATTTGGGGGTCCCAGCCAACCTCATTTCCCCTGCACTTCCACCCCTTCTCCGGTGTCCCCCAAACCACCAGCCCCATCCCTCATGCCTGACTTTGGTGGTTCCAGGTCCCTCAGTCTGGGATTCCCATATTCCCTTCCCCTCAATTCAGGCACCTCCCGGCAGATTTTTCCTATGAGAAATCTCTGACTTTGGGGATTTTTGGGGTGCAGTTCTGGAGGTGGACAGCTCTGTCTGGCTTTCCCCTCCCTGCTGTGGCCTCTCAGCTGCCCCCCACACCCTGGGGGTGCTGGGATTTCCCTCCTGGGCACAAGGACGTTCATTCCCTTCCAGGAGCCCAATGCCCGGCTGGGGCTCCAGGCCAGGGGGTGATGCTATATTTTATATATTAGCCAGGGGCTGTATGCACAAACCAGCCTTTGAAATAAGTCGTGATATTAAGGGCTAAAATCCTTGAAGTCCCTGCCAGGAACCCTCAACTCCCTCAAACCCAGCATCCCCCACAGCCCCTGCAAGTTCCCCCCATGGCAGCGGCCATGGCCATGGCCCCACATGTCACAGGCCATGTCCCACCATGTCCTCACCCAGGGCTGTGTCCCCACCATGTTTCCACCCCTGGCATTGTCCCCCACATCTCCATCTGTGCCCGTGTCCCCCCATGTCCCCATGAATGGCCATGTCCCTGTCCATGTGTCCCCACGTCACTCTCCATGTCCCACCATGTCTATGTGTCTCAATGTCCTCACCAACGTCTTAGTTCAATGTCTTTATTTTCACCCCAAAGTTGGATATTTTGAAGGGATAAAGAAAAATGAAAAGCCAATCAGGCCATATTGAAAGGATTTTTGCCAGCTGAGGATTCCCGTGCTTGGGTGGAAGGGAACAACGTTTTTGGGAAGGCTTTCCACACCACTATCTCCAAAATCTTGGTCTTTGACCCATTTCATCGACATCTGGCTGTGGAAGACACCTCTGGGCAATAGGAAATGAAAATTTGGAATCACTGAGGTTGGACAAGACCTCCAAGACCTCCTTGATGCCACCAGAAGATAGGTGGATTGAATGCAAAAGATTTTCTGGGATTGAAAGTCAACAAATCCACTCCCCCCAAGGAATTACCATTGTTGGTCTGTGTCCCAGTGGTTGTTCCTGCCCCAGTGTTCACCCAGGTGCCCACAGGGAGCCAGGAAGATGTGGAGCCTCCCAGCCAGGTGTCTTCCCAACACGGATCACCAGGACCACGGATCACCAGGGCTCTGCCCAACGGGGGTCACTGGGGATCATCCAACGCCCATCCTCCCATGGGGGATGGAGCTGGAGCAGTGCACGAAGCTCTTCCCGCACTCGGGGCACTCGCAGGGCTTCCCTTACTGGTGCCTCCGTTGGTGTTGGGTCAAGTGAGCGCTCTGTGAGAAGCTCTTCCCACACTGGGGACACTCGTAGGGCCTCTCCCCAGTGTGGATGCGCCGGTGCCTGACAAGGGTGGAGTTGTGCTTGAAGCCCTTCCCGCAGTCGGGGCAGCGGAAGGGCCTCTCGTCTGTGTGAATCCGCTCATGTAGGAGGACATGGGAGCTGGTTCGAAACCTCTTCCCACACTTGGGACACTCGTAGGGCCTCTCCCTGGTGTGGATGAGCTGGTGCTTCCTCAGATTGGAGCTCCACCCAAAGCTCTTCCCACATTCCAAGCAGGTGTAGGGCCGTTCCCCTGTGTGGATCACCTGATGTCTCATCAGTTCAGAGGTATCTCTGAAGCTCTTCCCACATTTCCCACAATCATAGGGCCATTCCCCACTGTGGATCACCTGGTGTGCCCTCAGTTTGGAGTGGTAGCTGAAACTCTTTCCACATTCCCCACACTTGTAGGGCTTTTCACCAGTGTGGCTCACCTGGTGCTGGAGCAGGCTGGAGCTGTAGCTGAAATCCTTCCCACATTCCAAACACTTGTGGGGCTTCTCCCCGCCATGAGGCTTCACCCCCAGCTCTGAGCTCTGGCTGGATCTCTGGCCATGTTCCTGGCACTGGGGGGATCTTTCCTCCTCACAGCTAACTGGGCTGGGTTTGCAGCCCCTCCTTGTGCGGCATCTCCAGGGATTTTCCTCCTCCTCCATCTGGCCACAGCTTGGGAATGAAAAATCCTGGTTTGGGGGAAAAAAAGAAAGGAAAAAGCCTTGGGCTGAGGGTTTCTCCTTTCCCAAGTTCATCTCAGGAAGTCATAGGGCATCTAGTGTCTGTAAGAACCTCCAGGATACCAAGACTCAGCCCAAAAAATCCTCCAAACATCAAGACAGATCAAAAACTTCCAAAACACCAAAAATCTGATATCCCCCCAAAATACAAAGATTCTGCCCCCACAAAAAAAACAAAACACCAACATTCACCTCAATAAAGCTCAGAAACACCAAGGTTCAGCCCCGTGAAGATCGTGCATCTCCCTGCCCGGGCACTCGCTGCATGGGGGGTGAGGGGGGCAATGAGGCCGGGCCGGAGCAGGGGGTGCCTGAGAGAGGCCCCGAGCCCGGCAGAAGCCCCTGCACAGCCATGCAAGTGGCTCCTGGCCGGACTCGGGGATCCCCCTG